ATCAAGCCCAAAATTTCGGATGCTAAGCGAGAGAACGGCCAAGTGAATTTGGCTCCATTTTACAACCTATCTCGCCACAGTTGTTAAGCGGATCACTGCGGTCGTTAAGCGAGTCACACGGTCGTTAAGTGGATCCGGCTCACCCCCTCCTTGACTTTGATTGTCAGAAGGTCGCAAAAGAGGACTGCGTGACCCCCAGGAGACCCTGCGACCGTCATAAATACAAGTCAGTTGCTGAGCGTCCCAATTTTGATCACATGACCATGGGGATGCCCCAACGGTCGTAAGTGTGAAAAATGGCCCTAAGTCCCTTTTTTCAGTGCTGCGGTCGCTTCGAACGGTCGCTAAAGGAACCGTCGTAATCTGAGGACTAGCCATGTTCCGTTGCTCCGTTTGTTCTGCGTCTTCCGTTACGGTTTCCCTACCTTTGGCACTGGTAGAAAACTCCCTGCCTTGCCCCCAAATGGTCGCTAAACGAACCGTCGTAATCCAAGGACTAGCCGTGTTCCGTCGCTCCATTCATTCAGCGTCTTCCGTTATGATTTCCCCACCTTTGGCGCTGGCAGAAAACTCCCTGCCTTGCCCCCAAACGGTCGCTAAACGAACCGTCGTAATCCGAGGACTAGCCGTGTTCCGTCGCTCCGTTCATTCAGCGTCTTCCGTTACGATTTCCCCACCTTTGGCGCTTGCAGAAGACTTAACCCCGAATCCTGGCTTATGCCTTCGGAGGCAAGATTCGATCCTTCCTAAACACTTTCCCCCAAAATCTCAGACCGCCCAGGAGCCGAGCCAGCCGCCGCTGGGTGGGGGGGAACCCGGAATGTACACAGAGCGAGGGGGCGCGCCCCGTCGGTAAGCCAAATCCGGCAGGGTTACGAGAAAATATTTAGATTCCGGGGGGCGCTTCTCCCAGATCCCCTTTCCCAAAATATAAACACTTCCTGGCTCGAACAGAGACGGAGTCGGGAAAGGGCAGTTTAAAAACCCCAAATTTCCTTCCGTCTGTGCGGGCTCAGAGGCAGGGTGTGGGCCTGGTCGCCAGGTGGGCTGCGAATTCGAAACCACGGCGTTCGGGGAGCTGAGCTGTTTTTCTGAAATGGATATTTGGCGGGTCCAAAATGTGGATGGCCTTGCTGGTTTGCACTGATTTGCACAACCGGATATTTGATACGAAGAGTGCTCAACTTACGACCGCGACTGAGCTCCTGTTGCTAAGCGAGGCATTTGTTAAATGAGTTTTGCCCAGTTTTACGACCTTTCTCGCCACAGTGAAGTGAGTCACGGCAGTCCTTAAGTGAGTAACATGATTGTTAAGTGAATTTTGCCCCGTTTTACGACCTTTCTCGCCTCAGTGAAGTGAATCACTGCAGTCCTTAAGCGAGTAACATGATTGTTGTACATTTTGCTCTGTTTTACGACCTTTCTCGCCTCAGTGAAGTGAGTCACTGCCGTCCTTAAGCGAGTAACAATTGTGAAGTGAATTTTGCCCCATTTTACGGCCTTTCTCGCCAGTGATGCCATCCTTAAATGAGTAACATTTGTTAAGTACATCTTGCTTCATTTTACGACCTTTCTCGCCACAGCGAAGTGAGTCACTGCCGTCCTGAAGTGAGTAACATGATGGTTAAGTTTTCAGTGCCATTGTAAGTTCGAATGGTCACTAAACAAATTGTCATAAGTTGGGGACTATTTGTAGTGCTGTGACTGATTTGCCCACTCAAGGTTTTGGAGAAACAATCAGATTTTCTTTGGCAGAATTTTGTCCCGCCCTTTGACACTGAGGACTAGCCACCTTGTAGATTGTTTCAAAAGTTCCAAATTTTACCTGGCTGCTGTTGGTTTGCTTCCCGGCGGATTCTGAGACATCTTTCTTTCTTTCTCTCTCTCTCTTAAATTTTTTACAAGGTATTTTTTTTTTTTGTGAAAGCAAGAAAAATGCAAACTGTGGATGGATATAATATGTTTATTTAGTGAATTACTAGGTTTTGGGGATTGGCACGATGCAGCAAAATAGGAATTAAGTGGGCTGCGTTTAAATAACACATTCAGTGGCAGAAAGAAAGAAAGAAAGAAAGAAAGGAAGGAAGGAAGGAAGGAAGGAAGGAGGAAGGAAGGAAGGAAGGAAGGAAAGAAAGAAAGAAAGAAAGAAAGAAAGAAAGAAAGAAAGAAAGAAAGAAAGAAAGAACATTAAGCCAAGTTTACAGCCAGCCCAGCATCATGGTTGAACGCAACATCCCAGGATAAAGTGAACTATCTTGGTTTCCCAGCTGCAAATCGCAAATCTTGGCTTCTTTCTCTTCCGTTTTCCTTTTTGGGGGGAGGGCAGTTTCTCCCCAAATTCTTTCACTCCCCCTCCATTCAGTCTGGCAAAACCTGTGAACACAAAATGGCCTCTTTGCACTTGCTAAATATGCAAACTAAGCCAGATTTTAAACGGTGCCCTGGAAGGTCTGAGGTTTTGGAGGGCTGCAAAATGAAAGGTTTGTTATAAGCCAAGATAATTATAGGAAAGAGACAGTCTTTCTGAACAGACCCCAGCAAATATGGGGTTTTTCACAACATGGAAGGCAAATTAACCTCCCTGACACGAAGGCCTGCGGTGGTCAGGCCTCGACATTTCCCAGAATCCCCTGCGGTTCCACGGCTAAGAATTCTGGGAGTGGTAGCGCTGGCCCTGCTGGTTAAAACTACTGGCTGGGGGCTTTGCTCAGCGGTTCCCAGAATCCCCTTGCCGGCATGGATGTTCCACTGCTAGGGATTCTGGGAGATGCAGTTCTAGCACAGCTATTTGAGTGATGGCTGTAATTCGCAGTTGCCAGAATCCCCTTGCTGGCATGGATATTCCACTGCTAGGGATTCTGGGAGTTCTAGCACAGCTGGTTAGAGCCACTGGCTGTAATTCTGGCTTGGCAGTTCCCAGAATCCCCTTGCCAATATGGCTGTTCCACTGCTAGGGATTCTGGGAGTTCTAGCACAGCTGGTAGAGCCACTGGCTGTAATTCTGGCTTGGCAGTTCCCAGAATCCCCTTGCCGGCATGCATGATCCACTGCTAGGAATTCTGGGAGTTGTAGTCCTAGCACGGCTGACTTAGAGAAACTGAATTTTCGGAGAACAGTTTTCTGAAACTCCATGTTCCTCCCTTTATGGGGAACGGGGAGAGCTTTGGGGGGCCCGGCCCCACCTGCCTCTTTGGGGATGCCTCTAATCCCAGACACCCCACGGGCATCCCAGACACAAGCCCACCCTGGCTTGTAGCTAACCTGTTTTTTTTTCAGCCACGCCCAAGACAGGCCAGGAGGTCTTCGTTGAGCTCCCGAAAAGCAGATTTCCACAGGCCCTTTTCGTGCCCCGAAGCCCTCCTGCCCACCCCTTTCTCGACAAGCTGGAAACTCAACAGGTGCAGCTTCTGCCTGGGAGACCCCCCTCCCTCCCCCCTCCCAAGAGCTCCCAAAAGTTGAAGCAGCATCTCTGCAAAGTGATTTTTTTTTCCTTCCCCCCCCCCTTTCCCAAATCTTCCAAGGTGGAAAGGCAGAACCACATCTGGCAAGCTGGAAACATCCAGACACAATGCCTGAAATTGTGCAGAAGAGGAGAGGGGGGGCACATCCCCCTCTCTTTTTCCTGCCCCCCCTCCCATTTTCACACTCCCCACCCCCCCACCCACCCTGTCTTTCTTTGCATTTTGCCCCCTTTTCCAATCCGGCTATATTTAAAAGATGCTGACGCCTTTAAAAACCAGCCCAGCTATTAATCTCCTCTACCCTTTTCCATTCACCTGGGGGGGGGGGGAAGAGAGAAAAAAGGTTTTTTGGGGGGGGGGCGAGAGAGAGAAGGCACCAAACATCGCCCCCTCCCCGTTTTTCTCTTTTTGTGCATGCTTCAAATGTCCCCCCCCCCTTTTGCATTTGCAATTGTCTGGGCAAAGGCGAGCCTCTCCCATCTCCAAATGCGCTCCGATTATTATTATTATTTTGCGTTCTGGCGAAGGCAGCTGGGGACAGGTATTTTTTCTCCTCCTTTCCTTCTCTTTCGGCTGAAGTTCTTCTTTTTTTTATTCCCCTCTCTCTCTTTTTTTTCTTCCCCCCTTCTTCTTCTCTTTCTTTTTTTTTTTTTCCCCCGCGTTCCGCGTTCCGTATCTTCTTTCGTCTCCAGACTCCCGTTCCTGCCTTTGCGCTTTTGGGGCTGTCTCTCCATTCCGCTTTTTCGCGCTCACCAATTCTTCTCTCCTCCCTTTTTCTCTGCTTCTCCCCCCCCCCCCAAAAAAAGAGAGAGAGAGTGAGAGAGAGAAAGAAAGAAAGAACAAGAAAGGAGAGGAGAAGGAGGGGGGGGGGAAGGAAAAATCTCCCTGATTCCTTATTCTCTTTTTTTTATTATTATTATTATTCTCTCTCTCTCTCCCTCTCTCCGCTTCCATCGTTGGGAATTCTTCGTTGCTGGGGAAGGAGAACAACCCAGCGCTGCGGAGGGATGGGAAAATAGAGGAGGGGGCTTGCAAATGAATTCCTCCTCTTTCTCCCCCCCTTTCCCCCCCTTCTTCTGTCTTCCACACTTTTCCACACCTCCCTGAGGATCTGGAAGCAGAGAGGCTGGAGCAAGCTTGACTGGATGCAATTTTTTGCCTTTCTGAATTAAATTCTTGATTCACCTTTTCTCTTTCTTTTCTTTTCTTTTCTTTTCTTTTCTTTCTTTCTTTCTTTCCCTTTCTTCCTTTTTTCCTCTTACAATCTCTCTTTCTTTCCTTTCAGCCCTCTCTTACTATCCTCTTTCTTTCTTTCTTTCTTTCTTTCTTTCTTTCTTTCCCTTTCTTCCTTTTTTCCTCTCTTACCATCTCTCTCTTTCATTCCTTCTTTCAGTCCTCTCTTACCATCCTTCCTTCCTTCCTTCCTTCCTTCCTTCCTTCCTTCCTTTCTTTCTTTCTTTCTTTCTTTCTTTCTTTCTTTCTTTCTTTCTTTCCCTTTCTTCCTTTTTCCCTCTTACCATCTCTTTCTTTCCTTCCTTCTTTCAGCCCTCTCTTTCTTTCTTTCTTTCTTTCTTTCTTTCTTTCTTTCTTTCTTTCTTTCTTTCCTTTTCTTTCTGTCCTTTCTGTCTGCAGGAAGAGAGGGAGAGGGAAAAAAAAATGCCCTTCTTTTGGGCAAGTCTTCGCGGTGCAAACTTTTCTTCGCATCGGCCCAGATGCGAAAGGGAGGGTTTGTAAAACTTTGTTGACCCCGCCAGTGTGAGATCTGGCAGATCCTTTCCTTAAAAACCAAACAACCCAACAAGTCCTTTCTCCTCTTCTTTCTTTCTTTCTTTCTTTCTTTCTTTCTTTCTTTCTTTCTTTCTTTCTTTCTTTCTTTCTTTCTTTCTTCTTCTTCTTCTTCTTCTTCTTCCTCCCTTTCTCGCTCCCTTTCTTCCTCAGAATATTTGGTATGCGCCCCTCTCTGCCTCTCTGCTTATTTTTCCTACCCTCTTCGCCCAGGAGAAGATTCGGAGCTGCCTCCTGGAGCAGGCGGCGGGGGTGAGATTGTCCAAGAAAGAAAAACAAAGGAAAAAAGAAGGAGGGAGAGGAAAAAAAAATAAGGTGAAGAAGAAGAGACCGGAGGGGGAGTTGGCACCGGCCTCTCCTGCCCGTCCCTCACTCTCTCTTTTTGCAGTGATGGCCTTTGAATACTCTGGGCTTGGATTTTATATGGCTTTGCACCTCTGCTTTTGGGAACTCTTGTTCGTAGACGGACTCAGCCTGGAACCCATTTACTGGAACACTTCGAACAAAAAGTAAGCTTCTTCTCTCTCTTTCCCTCTCTCTCTGTCTCTCTGGGGCCTGGGGGGAAAAAATCCAGGTATTGTCTGGGGAGGCAGCTTCAGGTGCCTTTGGTTGGGTTGGGGAAAAACAATAAATAATGTTTTTTTTTTTTAAAAAAATGGCTTTTCTGCAACAAAATCTGGTTAGGTTTTGTGCTTCTGGCTTTGTTGTACATGGAATTGGCCAGCAGAGGTTTGAGCAAAGAGGAGGGGAACATATATCAGCGTTTGGAAATGCCCAGGGTTTTGTTTTTTTTTTTAATGTGGGGGGGTGGGTGGAAGGTGGGCACCCTGGTTTGGTTTTTGGGCAAAGTAGAAGTTATTGTTGATGATGATGATGATGAAGTTTCTTCTGGGCAGTTTCAGGCCGAACCTGGAAATGTGAACCCCTGTTGTCCCTTCCCCAAACTTTTGCAAAACCTCCGCTTTAAGAGCAAAAACAGGGTGAAAAAAAAAATATGACATTGCCTTGGCTAAGATGTGGGGGGTGGAAGGGATGTCTACAGACACAATACAGTTTTCTCCACTGTGATCTTCTTCTTCTTCTTCTTCTTCTTCTTCTTCTTCTTCTTCTTCTTCTTCTTCTTCTTCTTCTTCTTCTTCTTCTTCTTCTTCTTCTTCTTCTTCTTCTTCTCCTCATTCTCCTTCTCCTCTTTCTTCTTTCTTCTTCTTCCTTCTCACTTTGTGGACCAGATTCAGCTGGTTTGTCTGGTTTCCTAGATTATGCATGTGAAATGCAAAATATTACTCGGACCCGTATCTTAAAGTTGGCTGGCTAGTGTGTGTGTGTGTGTGTGTGTGTGTGTGTGTGTGTGTGTGCGCGCGCGCGTGTGCATGCACGTATCAACCCTATAATACTAAACTGGTTTCCTTGCAAGTTTAGTCTGGAATGTCAGCACTTTTCCTGAGGTTTGCCTTGTCTAGTTTCTCCCCCCTCCCCCAGTTTTTGGCAATCGCTGAAAATAAAAATAAAAATAAAATGAAACTAGGGTCCTTGAATCTTGCAATGAAGCCGTGGATTAATTAACTTTGCTGGCTGCAGTGTACTTTTGACCGCAATGTGTCTGTGTGTGCATTTATGGTTATTCAGAGAGAGACACAGACACACACACACACACACACACAGAGGGCATCTCAAGGTAGGGGAGTGTGTGTCTGTGTGTATCTCTCTTGTGTTTGTGCATGGGTGTGTATCTGCTGATGCTTTCCACTTTTGCGATGGGGTGGGTCTGTCTGGATTGTATTTTTTTGTGTGTGTGTGCACTTACCTAGAGTGTGCAGCCTCTGGGATAGTGTGTGTGTGTGTATAGTGTGTGGGTTTCTCCTCCTCTGCCTTGCATTCTTGCACGAATTAAAATTGTGAAATCCGACACAATCCGGTTTGCGCTCTCTCTCTCTCTCTTCTCTCTCTCTTTCTCCTTCCCTCCCTCCATTCAGGGCAGAGTTGATCTCTGCAAAGCCTTATGGAAATGGATTGGAACTGGATGAAGTGGAACTTCTTGCCTTGAAAAGGAGTGTGTTTTTTGTGTGTTTGTGTGTGTGGGGGGGGGGGAAGCCCATGCCTTGTTCAAAGATGGGGGGGCAGGTGGAGGGAGACCAAAAGAAAACTTTCTTCTCTCTCCTTTCTGGTTTTTGAAGACCATTTTCCACACCTGCCAGTCACTCCCCATCTCCAGCTAATCCTGGGCACTTTTTTTTTTAATTTAAAAGTTTTATAAATTTATTACAATATAAACCCACCCCCCACCCCTTCCCCCCTCCCCCACTTCCCAGAGCTGATTACAGGGTAAAAAATAAAATAAACAAACATAATCTAACTAACGTAAACCAACTGTACTGTCCATCAAAACCATAACACACTTTAACTCCTTCTCCAAACAAATATTAACAAATTAAGTCAGAAAGAACAAAATAATTAAAACTAATAATAATGATCTCAGATCTACTCAAAAAGCAAGGTAATACTTTTCAATCTCATAGTTCTCCTGAATGTAAATCAATCCATCTTCTCCAAACCATAATATATTTTTTCTTGGGAGTGATCCTTCAACTAGGCGGAGATGTTCACCATGTCTGCTAAATTCGATGCTTTAAGTACCCGTTCTTCCAGAGTAGGCAATAAGTTTTTTCTTCCAATATTGCCCCACCAATAATCTTGCAGCTGTGATAAGGTTCAACATCAAATTAGCTTCTTTAACATCAAAATCTACACTCCTGGGCACTTTTTGTCTCCTGGCCTCGCACACTTTACACAGCTCTCCCCGTTGAGTCCAGCCCGACGCCTCATCTGTTAACAATTGTCCCCCAACAACTTCTGAAACTCAAGTCCTCCCTTGCACACTTTGGAGAGAGACAGAGGCCCAACTGAGTTAATTTGGGCTGATGTCATATTTTTTTTGGGGGGGTGGAAGGGTCCCGTGGAGGAAATGGGGGGTGCAAGAGGGAGAAGAATTTGGGGGTCCAGGGGAAGAGGCGAGCTTTGAGAGGGGCTTTCAGGAAAAGCTCTCTCTCTCACCCATTAGAGGGGAGGGGAAAAAAAAGAGGGGTAAAAAAAAATCCCTGTGATTCATAAGTGCTACAATTTGCGCTCTGTTGCCGTGCGAGGCAACGCTTCCTAGCAACAGGAATATATATGTATTAGAAGTAATGAGCTCCATTTGCCTAAATCACGCTGTGTATTTCCCTCTCTGCCTGACTTCTGATGTTTTGATTCTCTTTCCCTCCTTTTAACCCTCTCCTCCAAAGGGAAAATGTCTCCTGTTCCTGGTTGGGGAGGGGGGAGGGGGAGCAGACCCCCGCCCCTGTCTTGAAAACCAGAGGAAAACAATGGGTGGAAGGTCCAAGCTGGTCTGAACCCAAAGGGGGGGGGGAACTGGACAGAACAGACCTGAATGAGCATCTCTTCTAGGATTGGGGACCCCTTTGGGTTATTCTCCCGGTAACGGGGTGCGCCGGGCTGTCCCTCCTGCATTGGGTGTTGTCCTCACGTTGATCTGGCTTGGTGGGATCTGTAAACTTCAACCCTTTGGTTCAGTTGGAAGAGGAGAGGTCTGGTTGTCCTTCTCCCCTTGAAGGGGGATCCAGAGGAAGAAGAAGGAGAAGAAGTTTCAGAGGTGGGGAAAAAATGGGGGGGGGGTGCCCAAGTGCTGCACACCCTCTTTGAGGTCCACCTGGTTGCTATGCCCATCCATCCACAGGGGGAAGGAGAATCCAGACTCTGTTCTGCCCAAGGGGGTCCAGGAGAAGTTGAGAAGCTAGAACCTCACAGATGTGGGTCCTGGTAGATTCATCTCCTTTCAAGATGCCACCTTTGGAAAGGCGCGTTTCTGAAGACCTACGAGTTGGGTTGTGGTGTCTGGCAATGTGGCAATACTTGGGTGGCACCTGTGGTGTGTTTTGGGGTGTGTGTTGGACCAGTTGGAAGATGGACCTTGTAGATTTCTTCTCCTTTCTGATGCCACCTTTGGGAAGACACGTTTCTGAAGACCTACAAGTTGGGTTGTGGTCTCTAGCAATGTGGCAATACTTAGGTGGCACCCGTGGTGTGTTTTGGGGTGTGTGTTGGACTAGTTGGAAGATGGACCTTGTAGATTACTTCTCCTTTCTGATGCCACCTCTGGGAAGGCACGTTTCTGAAGACCTACAAGTTGAGTTGTGGTCTCTGGCAATGTGGCAATACTTAGGTGGCACCTGTTGTGTATTTTGAGCTGTGTGTTGCACCAGTTGCAAGATGGACCTGTTTTTTGAGGGGGGGATCCTCTACTTCCTGGAGAAATAGACCTCTCAACGTGTGCTTGAGTTGAACAGCTCTGGAAGTTGGAAAAGAAGAGGTTGATTTTTTTCACGCTGGTTTCCTGGTACGAACCTCTTTTCCTGCCCGCCTAGTTTTTAATTATCCCGTTGCAAATTCTCTCATTATTTTCGTTGACAAGGCCGTGAATCCAGCCGCTTCTAATATGGAGATTTATTTAAATACGATAAGTTAATGAGTCAATTAATTGGCTGACCTCCCTATCGGAAAGGAAAAGCATCTTTCTGCGCACAAGGTGACACCGGTGCACACACCCAAGATGGTGGAAAGGGGAGAAAAAAAAAAATCAGTTGTGGTGATGTGGCAAAAATCCCGTGTGTGTAAGGATGAGTGAACTCAGTGTGATGTTGTTCTCCCTCGCATGAGTAGATGGCTTAGATATTCAGCGTGGCTGGGCTAGTTTTTCCGCACAAAATGGGATGGTTGCCTACACAATAAATGGCATAATAGATCAGATTTGCCAAGGTAGATCTTGGATTTGAACAGGAATTGGCAACCAGACCAGACCAAGGCTCAAACAGTATTAAAAAATCAGTACCACAGTATTTTGTGTTAAAAAAAGTATGCCGCCAACGTTTTGTGTTCAGACCATCTACCACAAATATTATTATGTCTTTTAAAAAAAAGTCTACCACAAATAATTCGTGTTAAACAGAGTCTGCCACAAATGTTTCATCTTCAAAATATTTTGCGTCAAAAAAAATGTGCCACAAATATTTCGGGTTAAAAAAAAAAGTCTGCCGCCAATATTTTGCGTTAAAAAAACTCGGCTACCAATATTTCGTACTCAAAAAAAAAAAGTCCGCCACGGATATTTCGTACTAAAAACAAAAAAAAGGCCACCACAATGATTTCACCTTAAAAAAAAAACTCTGCCACACAAATATTTTGAGATTAAAAAAATCCGGCACAAATAATTTTGGGGGTTAAAAAAAAAAAAGTCCACCGCAAATATTTTGTGTTCAAATAGTGTGCCATCAATATTTTGTGTTCCAAAAGTGTGCCGTCAATACATCGTGTTTAAAAATGTCGGCCGCAATTATTTTGTGTTTCAAAAAAGGGTGCCCCGCTTTGTGTTAAGAAGTCCGTCACAAATATTTTGTGTTGAAAAAACCCTGCCACAGTAGTTTGCCTTAAAAAAAAGTCCACCACAAAATAATTT